AAAGGGGTAACTTCACCGTCTTTCTTAGCTTGACTTCTCGTGGTTACAGCGCATGCTTCTTGCCAAGTTGGGTCTGGCTCATCTGCAGGTCGAGCTCCAGGAACGTTACCTATTATCAGGTCGTAAATGGCATCTGGGAGACACTGCGCTTCCACTTGCCCCTTGAGATAAGGTGTATCCACAGTAATTCTTGCAATAGGTACCTTCCTCGCGGTGTTGTCAATGAGCAGCATAACGTTAAAATCACTGGTAAACTGGTCCTCAGACACAAGACTCCTCTTAACTACTATTCCACTACAACCAGTGTCTCTCAAGACATCCACAGTCATCTCTCCCACTCTTCCTTTTACAACAGGCATTTTCAACCAGTCGCCAGACAGAGGTTCAAGGCAGGCATTGCTTATTATTGGGATCTTCTTACCACTGGCTAACAACAGTTTATCATCCTTAATACAGGCTCTAACTTCTTCTTCTGTGGGTTTAATCTCGGGTGGCTGAACTAAACAACCGGCACTCACTTGCCCACGCTGAACAGGGAGACCATCCCTACTTTGTCCTCCAGACTTCTGTTTACCTGATCGACAGTTCCTTGCTTCATGACCTTGCTTGCCACACAGGTAACATTTCTTAACCAGAGATGGGCAGTTAACAGCCTTGTGCCCACAAACATTACACTTGAAACACACTACTGTCGTAGAATCACTCGGCTGATTCTTTGATTCATCCACCTTGGGCTGTACTTGTAGCTTCTTGCTCGCAGAGCTAAACAGATGCTTTCTGTGTGCTTTCAAGTATTGATCGGCAATCTTTGCTATCTGAACAAGCATTTCCGGGGCTCTTTCACGAAGGTGAATAGCTAACTCTTTTGGACATGCGTCAATAAATTGTTCTTTTACAATTAAATCTTTCAGGCCTTCAAAAGAACGCTCAGTGTTCGACAGCTCTAACCAACGCAACAAGTATCTATCCAGTCGCACTATGAACTATTCAGGACTCTCGTCAACTTCCGGCTTTGATGTTCTAAATTTACAACGATAGCCGTCCTCTGTAAGGTCATATCTCTTCATCAAAGCTAACTTTACACGGTGGGGCCAGACCACCCCTTCTATGCGCGCGAAACGCGTGGGTAGTTTTTTTCAAAATGGCGCCGAAAAAGTCTGCAAAGGCTTCTGGGTGCCGCCATATTGGATTTATCTCCGGAATAGGCCGAGTTTTAGCCGATATTTTGGGAAACTGGTACGAGCAATGTAGTTTTGGCGGTCACTTTGGGAGAGTTGAATTCGTTAGCTTCCTGTCGGTGTGCGATTAAGTGTATCCTAGCTCGATGAATTAGGAAAAAGTGATATGATAGGAAGCGAAAATGCAGAGCCAAGTGACTGTGGCGAGGGTTTCAGGT